TACGGAGATACTGATGATAAAAAAAGAAAAGAAAATCTCCCCAACTCAGGATCAAACTATCGTCTTTCTGTGTTCAACAAAGAACCTAACCGCTATACCAAAGACGGGGACAAAAATGACAATGAGGAGAGCTGAAAAGGGGAAGCGTGGTGCAGCTATTGCTCTCGTTTGAGGGAGAACTCACCGACAGGACGCAACAGAAAAGAATGTGAATGAACTATGAAAATTGTAAGGCAAAATTAGAAACGGTGGATTTGTACATGTCATTTTGGTAACAAGATAGTTTCTCAGAGAAAGAGATACAAATTCATTAGAGGGCCTTGAAAAAGCACAATAAAATTTGGAAAATTTAGAATGTGAGCTCAAAGTAAAAGCTGAGTTCATGTAAAACTCAAATGTCCTGTTAGTAATCCTGCACGGTTGAGAGTCCTGAAGCTAAAAGAAAAAATAGGAAAAGAGACTGGATTCCTTAGACAACAAATGTCTGCGCAGGATGATCAACATCCCCGAGAAGGACTCCATTACGAACTAAGAAATAAGAGAACGATCCCAACAAGAGCTACTGACAAATACCATAATATTATATGAAAAAAGAGGAATGTGATGGTCTGGCCCTATCCTACGACAACCCAAACTCAACAGTTTTCTAATCAGGCAGCGTATTGGACAATTGACAGGAAAGGAGGTAGTGGAGACCAAAGATGAACTGGAAACAGACTTTATCGAAGACCTGAAACTAGTAGTCAAGAAATGGATATATGTCCCAGTCTTGGCTCCAGACAGATCTTTCTGGTCATCTTTGATTGCCTCATGCGTCCCAAGACATGTGAGTTTGCAAGTCTCAGTGAGTAAACTAACCGAATCTCCCAGCGGTGTGCCTTAACTAAGATCGTTTGAGGAGTCTGTGGGTTTTTAACCCCACTTTTCTCAGCCCTGTAATCCAATGAAGGTGTGTGCATTCGGAGACCCAAACTAATACGAGTAAATGATACTACAACTCCCACGGTGATGTGGTTATTTTCCTGACACTGGAAAATGGATACCAACATGACATACAGAAGGTGGATTTGCAATAGTTTCAAAATTTAGTGCTAAGTCGGTCTCGTTTTTTTTCGTCGATTTTTCTTTTTCAGTACAAACCGGGGTACGTCAAAGAATAGACCACATACCCGTCGGTGGTTTTTGTCTCAGTCCTCGCTGCCTTCATAACGTGTTGCTGTTGTTTGTGAAGTTTACTCTCATCCTTCTATACACTTTGCCAACTAATGAAGAACAAAAGGTGAGCATGCTATGACTGTGTCTTCCACTTCTTCTGGCACAAGACAATAGTGACTTATTGAAGAAATCGATAGCTGAGAGCTATTCCTTTTACGGTCAATTCTTTTTCTTTTTGGATCAAATTTGTAAAACTATTGGGAGGAAAAATTTGATAGTTACAAGGATATGGGAACTTCAGTTTCACTCATCAGATTTTCTGCATTTTTTACATTATCTTAGTTCAAACTGGACATAGTCACTTCTTGTTTCAGGCGAAGAAATACAGAAAAACATTAAGACTACATCATAGATATTTAATACAACCCAGGCATGTTATTGGTATTTTATATTTGTGATCATGCTTTTAAAGGTACACACTGCATATTTGTATCTAATCCTGTGGTTAAGCTGTTGAAATGTACATACTGACTACATGCGTGCTGTGGAATTCTCGAGATTAAGTTTGCTTTCTTTTTCTTTTGTTGCACAACATATTTCTTTTTTTGCTTAGAATATACAAGCTCAGACAAAATAAACGTCACACTCTACAAGCTAAATGAAAATTGTAACTACAAATTATGTTTACGCTCCCACCAACACAATCTAGATCCTTTAGGGAACGGGCTGCTTAGTCTCTGTCTGTCAAGGATAACTCGGGTTGAGAGAGATACAAGTACCAGAAGACATTTATTATAGATTTTCCATTTGAATCTTCCCCTCAAGTATGTCAAACTTATGTCTTCTGCTTGCAAAGGCGAAGAACTTAACCGCTGTACCAGAGACGCCGTTGTCACAAGCTTGAGTACGAAACTAGCAGCTTAAAATCAGTAACACTAAACGATGTAAGCGTAGAACCTGTAGATTTTTCTCAAACCCAAGTTGTGAAAATCCCCTTTTACGAATCTAATTGAATGTTATAATTGCGATTCTAAAGAAGCATCACATTACAAACAATTATAGTGCGGTAAAAAATTCGTGGCGCGACTTATTTTCAAATATCTCCCACTTATCGAACATAGGTTCTCCAATTTTTGTACAGTGACTTGTATAAATTTGTCTTAACAGGTCAACATTTTTGTAAACACCTGCAAGCTGTATTCTAGAAAATTCCTTAAATACTAATAGAAAGTCCAGTTTGGTGGTTTCTACCGATTTTTAAATTTTTCAGCTGGGGCAATATTGCTTTTAATAACAAGCTCGTCAGGTTTTTCTAATCGGGACATTATGCTTATTGAAAGAAAATTTTGAGAGCCATTAGTGCAAAAATGTGTTCACTATAACAATAACTTCTTTTAACAAGTTTTGTTTCTAAACATTGTCACATATGAGCTGTGATGTAAGCTATATGCGTAATCAAAATGTGTGTGAGAAGCGGCAAGTACTGTCTACAATACCATTTTACAAGTGACAGAGATTTCAAATGTTTTATATAAATTTATGAAGAAAATTTTTTTAATCTAGCGCCAATCGTTCTGGAAAAAATATGATTTAGTTAAGACAAATTGATACAAACTGCCATGCAAAATATGGATGACATTCATTCACCTGTTAAAGAGATATTTGAGGATAGGTTGCACCACGAATTTTTGACCGCACTAGCATACAGTGCGCTCTATACTTACAATATCCTACCAGTCTCAAGAATACGGAACACAACAACTCTATAAACAGCTTATGGCAGTGTCTTAACCTCAAACAACTATTTTTATAAAGACCAAAGAATTTTTTAGAAACTGTGACTAAGCAACTGCATTATTAGAGCGTGGATTTGAAGCTGATCTAGGCTAAATGTTTGGGATGACTTTAGTCGTCTGTGTGTTCATACAATGTCAAGCTTAGCCAAACTGCAGCTGCTTGAAGGAGTTCACGTATCTAACACAAAAACCCACTTCACTACGTCCAGAAAACATACAAGAACCTGGGAAAGAGGCGTGTATTTTCAAAACAATATCAAGAGCAAGTAAACGATGCATTATACTAGACTATTAATAACTATTATGTACGGTATTCATTGTTGTGTGTGGGGTGGGGTGGGGTGGGGGGTGGGGGGTAATTATACAGCAGTAGCAGCAGCAGAAGCAGCAGCAGCAGCAGCAGCAGCAATAGAAGCAGCAAAGCAGCAACAGCGACAGTGGTAGTAGATTAGAATCAGGGGCGGCTCGTGGGGCTAAAAAGTGGACGTGCACAATTAAGCTATCGCATGCTGAAGATACTCAAAGGCATAGTAAATGAAACGGTGCTTACTTGTAGAATCTTTGTGTTGGTGAGGGAGGACCTCGTGCTTTTATTTTCATTCTTTTTACTTGTCGCTTTAATTTCTAGTGCTAAATTTGTTTGTTAACTAAACATCAATTTCGTTCATCCTGCATTGGAACTGAACACTCTAGTAATAACTTCCACTACCCCACTACAAAATCATTCAAAGCACAACTCGTAGAACGGTCACGTTCACCTCCCTCAGGTTCACAGTCACAGAGTCACTTAAAATAGTGGCAAGACAGACAATGAACCAATCACAATTCATTTGAGCACTCCGCTGGATTGCTCCGGGGCTCACATAATATTGGCAAAGAATTGCATACGGTCTATCGCGTTTATTTTTAGACTGCCTACTGTGGGCTATATTTCGGCACTATTCGGCAGGAGCACATTTGAGATGTGCCGTCCTATTAATATTAATGTACTGCCAAACTCGCTACAAGTGTCGTCATCGCTTGGGTTATCCCCAGGAGCGATTTATAGGTCGGGTTACACTGTTGAATATCCTATTATGTTAAGCTAAAGCGTGTGGACTTTGGCATGGCATAGTAAATGTTTTACGGCGCTATAGACACAGAAATGATAGTTATGGCGACAGTGAGGACCTTGTTTTGATATAATATTAAGCTAGTGTTTGTTTCTGACTTCTTTTATTCTATTATTGCGGGTGTTTTACGTAATAGAACATTTTTTTTTAATTGGGCGGAACTGCACGACCCTGCTCTATGGACGAACCGCGCCTGATAAGAATCGTACTAAAAGTTGCACAACTTTTAAATTGGCATAATGACACAGTGTGTCAATAAACTACAGTGACCTAATACAGAAATGATATTTGATATCCTGAAAAAAAAAATAACAACGAGGACTACCTCAGTCTTGTGCAAGCCCTAAGTCTGATAGCAATGTGTCACTTTAAAGTCCTTACGATGTAAATGTTTGGACCAAAGTATGAAATGATGGAACTCTTGAAAGCTTGTAAAACACAAACTGACAAGAGGGTTACTGGACTAAATCAAATGACTATAGAGTTTTTGTATGTTTGAGTTTGGCGGTTTTCATAATACATAATAATATGTTTTACACAACTGAATTTCAAGTCCGATTTTTGCAATTTACATAACACACATTATATGTCCATGATTTTTGTCCAGTGCTGGCTGTAATGTTTTCTCTGTCGTGAAAAGGGACAAACACACACGCACACACACACACACGCACATACACACACACACACGCACGCACACACACACACACACACACACACACA